TTTAAAAGGACCACCAGGCTACTTAACCGCCGCCCGGCACTCGGCGTTATATAAAGTTTGACGATTTTCAAATGAAACAACATAATCCTAAAGGTTTTATTCAGAACCAAAGTTAGTCGTTATAAAATAAAATCTGTTTTGTTAACTTATGGCGTTTTGATGCTTTGTTTTTCTTTATGATACGCTCTGTATATACTCTTCCAAACTGGAAGCAGAAAATTTTTAGATATTTTTGAGTTATTAATTTGATTAAAATTGTTATGTGATCATCCCTCATGTGCTCATCCAAGATATGTGTTGCCTTTGAATGTTCAGATATAGATGTAAATGTTGACATCTTCGTATCTTGCAATACTTTTGATTCAATTTGTTTATTCATATCACTTGAAATGCCCTGCCAATTACATAATTCCCTTCTAGCAATTCTATCAACGCTTTGGACAACCTTATAAACAGACCAAGATGGAACTAACAAATTCCCAAACCTTTTGCATGATATGAGTGAAAGATTGCAGCTATAGCCATAGTCATTAGAGCTGTCTGAGCTTTGGTACAGAGCAGTTGCACAATCAGGACAATCAAGGGACTCAAGAATTTTTTTTACAATATAGCCAGAAATGTATTGCAAGACATCATTTCTCCAAATGTTATTTGAAAGGAGCATGTCATTGACAGCTGGGTCACTGCTTTGGATTTCATTGCTTTCTTGGATCCTGCTGATATCAATGCAATTGGCTGTGGATGGAGCTTCAATTTTATTCTTCAATAAAAGGGATCGCAGTGCATATTTAAACTGGAGGGCTGTTGGGTTATTGTTCCAACCAAAACGACTTCTTATTTTTGAAAAGTACATTTCAATTTGGTCCTGAGAAAAGCGATATGTTAGTATGTATTTGAAAGGAGATTCTGACCTTTCAAATAAATGTCTGCTAATATTCAGAATTGATGTTGCAGAGACAGCAAAACCAATTACAAAGGTCTTTCTTGGCCCATTGATTATTGGCAAGCCTGCTGTATCCTTAAGAGACTTAAGATAATCAATCCCATTATTAAGGTAACCTTGAAGCTCAAGGATATTATCAGGTGTGATTGGCTGCTTTGTATGCTTACCAAATTTGCTTTTAGAGTTTAAAATGTCAAAGATGTTGTTCATCAACAAAATAAACTCGCTTGTGGCCTTGCTGTCTCTAAACTCTGCAAGTTTGAGGCTTCTTAAAAAAGTAATGGCAGCTGCAACAGAATGGCTCAGTGTCTGTGCAGCAATACCAACTTTCATTTTGTGGTTCTGCCATTGAATATGCTGGGTCTTAAGTTTGTTGGCTAAATTTAACACATCTTTTTTCTGTGCTCTATATAATGCCAACACATACTCCCATGATATTCTTTCCCCAGTAGGAGTACAAAATATTTTAATGTCTGCAAAAGCATTCCTTGCTAGCTTTATCATATGACAGACATCTAGAATGATAAAAATTTTTTTACCAGGTTTAGCAGGATGCGGAAAAGAACCATCCAGCTTTTTTATGTTAGCCCCTAGTTTTTCTGCCATAGTGATATTTTTAGGGGCCCCATCAAATATCACTGCATGCACTTCAGCACCTTTTTGTGTGACCATTGTTATGGCTTCAGTTATTATTCTAGCCAGGATATCACCATCTAGTGCATTGGTCAAAAAATATGCTATTGGGACATACCATGGTTTTTGGAGCCCAGCTACCATGAAAAGAAGTGCATTTTTAGCAATCGTGTCTGGCTTTTCTCCCTTAAGTGGACCATAGTTCACATTACCAACAAATCTTGAATTTTTCTGGTCCCATTCAAGTTTTGTTTTAATTGCCATTTCATCTAAAATTATGACACAATCATTCTGACCCTCTTTTACTTTATTTTCAATGAAATCAAAGGATTTGTCCAAAAACCCAGGCTCGCAGTCAATGTTAATAGCCCAAGAGCGGATAGTTGCAGGGTGTGGTAAATGAAGATGTTTTCTTATGAACCTGTATGCTCTTGGGCTGTAAAAGTGAAGGGAGATTGCAAACTCTTTAATCTCCTGTGAGTATCTAGAACCAGCCTGTTTTAAAGCATTTTTGGTTTCATTTCTAAATAACTCAGTTGTCAGATGACCAAAATTCTCTGCTAATGTCTCCTCGCTTGTTTGGCTGAGCATTTTTAATTCTTTCAACTGAGAGCAAAGGCCTTTGATAGTTTTTTCCTTTCTCACGTTACTTATTCTCAACTTTTTGATGATCTTATTTTTTTCTTGAAGTTTCCTTTTGTATTTTTCTGCAACTTTTCTAGGGGAAGTCTTTAAAACATAAGTATGGTCATCAGCAAGCTTAGGTTTCTTCTCAGTTGAGGTTGTTGGTCTATTAGGAGAAGCACTAGGTCTTTTCCTTGGCTTTCGCTCTTTTGTTTCCTTTTTTTGGATATGGGCGGGAAAATCAAAAACAGATGGTACTGCATCCTTTTTCAAATATTTTTTTCCTAATGACTGATAGTTTGGTAAACAAGAAGGATAGCTGTAATCACTTGGAAGGAAATGTTTTTCACAAATTCTTTGCGATGGTGTTGGGTGCCAATCTTTTCTTCTCATTGCAACAAGCCATTTACCCATCAATTCTTTATTTGATAATGGAAAGCTGTGGAAAATATACCACAAACAAGATTAAATTTCATTTTTCCTTTTTACTGCAATAGGTAACCCTCAATTTGCTGTCATTTTTATCTACTCTGTGCAAACTTTAAAATATTTGATTATGAAACCTGGGGGTCAACCTTTGAAGTTATGGGTCTCAACACATGCTGACAACTTTCAGCATAAACATATGAGATAGTACCGTAAGAGCACACTCACATTATTTTACAGCCTCAGTTGCAATTTTAATATACCCAAGTCTTTCTTTTTAGTGTGTACGAAGGAAGAAACGCAGGATATATTGTGCGCCGTATTCTGTGAATCTTGCAATGAGTAATATTATGAATTATAGTTAGGAACAACAAAGTAACACTACGATGAAAATCCAATGTTTTGAAATAGAATTTCAAAATACATTATATTTAATAAATACTAATATTTCTCCCCGGCATGAAGGGCTTCATTAGAGGCTTTCTTGATAGAACCACCAAAAAATTAAAAAGCTAAAGAAAAAGTGTACGTCCAACACTTTCACCTCGTATCTCTAACTGAAGGCCCGATAGGTTTGAAACGTTTTATTACAGCGCTCTCGAATAATAAAAAATCATTTATCCGACAAGTAAATTTTTTATTGAATTATCCAGAAATGCCGAAAACTTATCGTAGTATTGAATTGCGATCGTGAATGCCGGGTATGTGAAATGTTTCTTATATGTCAAATAAACCCTTCCGCTTGAATTTAATTCAAAATGAGATTAGAATTAATCTTACATATGTCTCAAAGTTTGTCTTTCAATTCAAAGCGCTAGTGAAAAATAGGCCTAGACTTACTGATGAAACGACACATTCGTTTGTCCTGGACGAAGATCCTTCGTCGGGATCCAGCGATTTTCGCAACCAAACGCAGCACAGGATACAACCATTATACAGATTTTATCAGATCTGAACCAATTCTGAATAGTTTATCGCAAAATAAACGCAAAATTTCGGGTATGTGACGATCGTCATTAAAGCCGGCCTATGTTATCTGAATAGTACTTCCGTGTTTTCTGCCAACTTGTTGCTACCATTTTAGTTCCCCACGATGGCAACACGTCACGTGACCTACCACGCATTCTAGCCCTTCTATTTCTATGGAGATGACGAGGCAGAAAATATTATCTTCACAATAAAACAAGCCAGTCAAACAAGAGCAACATACACGAAATACGTAAATTTCTAGAGGAATATCAGAAAACATGAAAAAGCCCATTTCTGTGATTACAATCTCTTTGGGATTCATGCGATAAAAATAATCATCATCATTTCAACCAAAAAATGATGTTGCTAAAAAAGATTAAATCTAGTGATTTTGCCGGTGCTTTTGCCTAAAAAATGCTCGTAAAGTGTAACTGTAAAGTTTTTGAAAATTAATGGGTATCAGTTTGAATAAAACATATCGGGGAGAGAAGGGCTCAGAGGTTGACTCCCATTTAATTGCTACGCAGTTAATTTTTTGAGTTAATTTGTAACACCGTCTTCAACGCAAACTAGGACCCTAAGTGAGAGGCGACACACTCATTACTCATTAGTCAACTTGACTAATCCATCTCTCTATAAGACAAATCAATAACAGAGCTAAGTGGAAGATAAAGTCAAATTTTCCTGAATCAACTAAAATGATCTTTATCAAAGGATTCGACAGCTTCCAAGACAGAATATTGATAAGAGATTGTCAAACACCTGAATTAAGAAAAGGTGTTTTCGCGATACTAAGAAAAACGTCTGCTGTGTTACTAAAAGCTACATGATCATTTGTCAGATGTCAAATGAAACATGGGCATTGTTTGATTTGCACATATTTTATGAGAATGAATTTTGTTATGGCATAAGGCCTGGTTCAGAAATCAAATCAAACCTACAGGACATTAATAAAATCGAATGGAAAGAAGCTTGTGAACAAGCCAAAGACAAACTTGCCTGGCAAAAAAGTTTCAACTAGAAACCATGTGTTACACAAAGTAAATTTGTTTACGAAAAAGGTGCTTTGTTATAAAAAAATAACAATAGGTCGTGGTTCTTGCGACCTCTGCGGGGGATCGTTTTACAGCCTCTATTCGGCGGAAGCCCATTTCCTGTGGGGGCCACGCAATGAGCATTGGGGCCACGTGTCTTTGTATATAAAGAAGGTTTCTTTGACACCTTTTGATTGCCAATCTATGGGAACTGACAGCAAGAGAAAGCATTCTGACCCATGTAAGTAGTACCTGAATTTGAAAGAGTCGAATTCTTTATATTAGCGTTCTTGTTTTCTATCATAAAGGTTGGAATACATTGCCTTATTTAGATCATTGTGACTCACTTCGGAATCATTTTACATCATAAGCATAATCCTCAAGAAATATTCTAAATATGTGTAGCAATTTTCATCAACCCGCAAAAGCTGTTTATTGAAATGATTATGAGCTTTGAAAATGTAAATTTGGAACGCTGAATGATTTGAGAGAATTGTTTCAGAACTTCGTTCAAGTAAGTGGATAACGAGCAATAGAAAAACTCACGTGACTATGATCACTGGGAAGGTTTTCATCAGTGGACTGATGGCTCTGGTCCTTTGTCTCATCAATTTCATGAGTTTTTTCTTCTTCTCCTTTCATCTCTGTATTGTGGTCCTTTATCATTTTTTCAACAAACTCTCTCAGGTTCTCAATAGCCCTACCGCCTTCATGCTTTCCTTTCTGAAATTAAATAAAGCAGTCTAAATTTACCAATATGACATCAAAGTTTTACAAAACACAAGGTATTTTAATCATCTTCTGCGATTATTATCTTTTGTTTCTGTATTTGCATCTTATGATCATCAAAATACAGTATTATTCTCAAAGTTCCTGCAAAATGAACATTATCCTATATAAATTACCAAATGATATGAAGTATTAACATATGATTACAGGACTGTTGTGAAGAATCTTGATGCAAATACAATGGACTGTACTTGTTGAGGAGACGAGCCACAATTTGTCTGATATACCATTAGCTTTTCAAAATTTTGCATCATGTGCAAATGCGCAGTAGAAGTCAATGACGTAATCTTCCGATGCATTATCTACTCTGTGATAGGAGTATTCGTGGCTCTTAAGGGCATTAGCAAATATGGACATTATGGACAATCAAAATGACGTAAGGGAACTTAGAGAAAAAGGTGTCATATGAAGAGTGAGAACAAAACTCTGGTTTATTTTGCAATATATATTAGTTTTGATTAAAGGCTATGAAGCACCATTAGATGAAAACTTACCATTCGCACTAATTCCCTTTGCCCATATGTTGCATTTTCTCATTGGTTAAGACAAATCGAAAAATAAAGCCCACAGACAATAGAGATTTAGACTCATCCCCCCGACAAGTTCTGGAATAGAAAAGATTGACGCTTTATACTTACCCAAAGTCCATTTGAAAAAGCAATGATACTGGGAAAGCCAGTGATTTCATACTTCTTACACAGCAATTTTTCTTTCTCGCAGTCAACCTTAAACATAGAGAAGCTTCAAATACTTTACAGAGTTCATGAAGCGAAAGGACACTAAAAAGTTGCAAGTAAAATGAAAACTTAAATCATGAAAAGTAACAATAAAGAATTTGTTAATTGACTTCCAATATCACTGCGTTTGTTTGAACCATTGTTCTCTGTCGAGACTGCAAATTGGTTTTTGCTAATAAATTCTAAAGAACCTTTTATCAGGCTGCCTAAGCCTACCGCAATTTCCAAACGAAAGCTGTTACTTCTACATATTTCACAATGTTTTTCAAAATTCATTGATTCCATTCTGTTGAGATTCATTGATTAAAAAGTATTGTAGAGCTCATTGCCATTAGAATTTCCCCCTTCCATTCGGAGTTAGAATTGAAAACAAGATTTATAGTATTGTTTATCTCTGCATCCGATAAATATTGCATCAATCTACCTAATGAAAACCGAGTTATCAACACTATCTGCTTGAAGAATACTAGCTATGTACCGAGACAATTCTTCAATACCTTTAGTATCCGGACATCAAGAGAGTACTGAAACTCTTTACTAAGCTGTTGCCATGTTGGAGCAAGCTTTTTACAATGGGAACACCTAAAACAAAGCCAAGTGGATACTAACAAAGACGCCAGATACCAAAATTAGGCAGCAGTATAATCCGGTTATAACGTACTTTAAGGGACCGGCGTATTAAGTACGTTATATCCGAAGCACGTTGTAACGAGGGTAAGTAAAAATTTACTAAAAACAGGCACACCTTATGCCGGAACCAAGCACACCAGTACGTTATATCCGAAAGTACGTAATAACCGAGTACGTTATAACGGGATTCTACTTTATATATAAATATAAATATATATTGCTGGATAATGCAGGAGCTTTTTCTACTGAATCCGAATTGTCGAAAATCGCAAGCTTTGGCCAAAGGGATCACAAGTTGTGGCTGGATTGATAGGAAAGACTAGGTCATGGTCGATAAGGGATTGCATTGAATTGCAACATTATTCATTGGACAGGGTATTAAAGGCGAACCCAACATACGTCTTGACTCGGGACTACCTCTAATACTTGGGTAAAGGAGTAATTTTTCTGGTTTGTGACTTATAAAAATAATGAAAAAAATAATGGGTCTTTCTGAAAACTGCTCTTGAAAACCCTGGATCTGCGACAAACTGATACATTTTGTCCTTGGCTACAATAAGTTATCTTGATCTGGGAATTTTAGTTTTAAGTTGTCCCCTTTCATTTATGTTACCTGTTATTTCAAAAGCATATTGGGAGATATAAAGGGACTAATGGAAGGTGAAAAGGAAGCTCTAGAATTAGACTTGCTAAAAGGTCGGGAAATATCGCCACGGACAGATTTTTCAGTTGCCTTATCAGCATATCAGTTGTAATGAATTATGAATTTTCTCACGGAAGGTAAATTGCTCCCTCAGATTAAGCCACAATGTGAAAAAATTTTCTTGTACTCTTGCATGATAATTTGAATTTTCCCGATATGGAAGACCGTGTAGCAAATGTTTTATAGCAATGAATCAAGTATAAAAGAAACAGAGATTTGTAAAAAAAGTTGAAAAAAGAAAAGCAACTTTTGCTGCAAAATTCTTCTCACGCGTTGTATTCAAAATATTTATTAGTCTTGCATCAACAATGTCAACTTAAACCATTTGGTTTGTCTCCAGTTTTGATTACGAAGTCCACGTTCTATTTAATACCTTTCATTCATGTTTCACGTTCTATTCAATATCTTCATGGGTTTATTGACATCACCACGTACATCTGATGTCAACCCTTTTTCACAAACCTGATTACAAGACTAAAACTTTAGATTCAACTTTACGTGATTCGCAATTTCACTTTAACATTTAAATACCAAAAGACAACTTAACAAAATTTCTGCTGTTTTAACGAATGCTGAAATATTACTGAAAATTATAAGAATCTCACCATGGGGCATAGAAATTGACTATTTTTAAACCCTCTTGGATTTCTTTTTCAAATCTATAGGTGTCTAACTCCATTACAAGCTCGTCAGCTGATTCTTGAACAGTCCCCTTAAATAACAAGAAGAATGCAACTTCAAACAGTATAAAGTAAATCAACACTTATTTCAATAAACTAAAAAGAAATTACAAAAAAGCATAAACTTTTCTCTCCAGTCAGCTATGCCAAGATGAACTAAACGCTAGGACTGAGATTTAGTAGTAGTACAAGTCTGTTATTTCAATCCACGCTTTATAGCTATTTATAGACAATACAAAGACATTTCAGCTTTTTTCTGTTAATAGTAAAAATTTTGGTAACAAACTATATAAATTTATATTTGAATTGATACAGAATTGCCTCAGCCTTAACATGGCAAGGGAGAGCAAAATTTTGTAAAATTATAGACACACTGCTATCGAGAAAGAGCCTTAACATAAAGGGTACAAGGATTCTTGAATAATTTCAATGCTTGCTCTTGTTTACATGTCATGCTCAGTAAGAATACAGAACAACTGGCAGTTGCAGGGTTGGTGAAGCAATTTTCTTTTTTAAGAAAGGTGTTTTGTCACCAATCTCTGTATAAACCACTAGCATGACCAGCTAAATTACCTAATTCCATAGTAGAAAGGCATTGTTGGTCTTTTTGCAAACAATTCAGTAAGTTCAGGTTGATTTGTTTAAATCGAACTTTTTTGACACAGATCCGGGGAACGAGTAAAAATTTGATGTTTTCTGTGTTCAATTTGCTTGAATTTCGCTGGAAACTCATGGGTACCTTTCACACTGAATATCCTTATAATATACTAGTGCATGAAAATATTTTGTTATTTTATTTATTTTCGGTTGCACGAAAAAGAAGTCAAAATTACTACCAAGCTACTACTAACAACAACAAAAAAGACAAAGAGAGTCTACAAATTATCTGCCCTATGATAAACTAAAGCCTGAACACATTGCAACTTAGAGGTGTACACAAGCACAAGTGCTGTGCTGTACGGCACTGGGCACTATATAACAGAACACTTTCATTCTGAAAAAAATAGTATTTATCAACAGGCCCTTTATTTATTCATTTGACAACAAAATAGTAAACAAAATAAATTTCTTTGAATCTTTGACTTACTTCATTGAATGTTTGTTTATTACTGAATTCAATAAATTCTGAAACATCTCTGCTCCCTCTGTACGTTGCCTTCTGTCCATTGTTGAAAAATTTAAGACTGGGTGACAAAGAAAATCAATTTTAACATATTTCTTCAAAGCACAGCACAATCAAAGTTATGTTCCAGAAAGTTAAAAATCATTTGATTTACATGCATTATTTGATAACAATGTTTAGGTTGGGCTCAGTACTGAAAATACCTTGACCAAAAGATCTTAGCAATTCGTTAACGTTTTTCTTTGTGTTTTTTTTTAAATAAACCCAGGAACTATTGAATATAGGGTCTTAAGATACCAGAAGACAATTAAAGAAAAATTATTGAAAAAATTGGTGATAAGTATTGTTTGCAGTGCTTGTTTTTACAAAGGATCAACTTAATGAAACTTCATTTTTTAATGGAAATATCAAATGGAAGTCAAATATCAAAAGTAGTTTTATTGGTAGTATACTTAACAAAAACTACTGTATGCATTCCATTTCTTAAATCGGTATAATTTGCGCATTCAGAGTGCGCATTCAGAGTTATAATTTTTCATATTTCTTAGCACTCCCATCCAGTACTAAAGATTATTTAAGTTTTTTGCCTATTCATGTAATATCTTTCTTAGAAAGAACAGTTCACTCATAAAATTCAGCCAAATATGCAGAACTATTAAATCTACCTCCACTTACAGCCACATTTTGCTTACAGTCACAAGTTTTCAAGCAACTTTTGGTGTGGCTATAAATGGAGTCTACTAGTGTACTTGCTTACAGAAAACATGTAGGGCATGAAATTTAGATTGCTGAAATAAAAGTAAACACCCGCAATAAAATTTCACTAAGCAAGAGATGAAAGTGTCAGCACATTGATAAAATTGCATTTTGTCAAAATACATTAAACTATCAAAAATACTCACGTTGGATATGCTTTTATATTTTCTTGTGCACAGAGATGTGTGTCTGTTGTACAATCAACCTGGGAAGAAAAGGACTGATGTTACAGGATGCCATTGATATTTGCACCAGTTGCTTCTCACACAAGAAAGCCTTCAATGCAACTTTAAAAATAGCTTGATTAAACATAGTGCACCAGCAACTTACCACCTGATGTACTCAATAAATTTGAAGGAGCAGCAGGAAAAGAATTTAGAAAAAAGCTCATAAAAGTATGATGTATCTCAATCCATTTATTTCCCAGTAAAGCTCTTTTACGCCTCTTTTCTATGAAGTTATCTTCTCAAACAAGTCCAATACCATTAAGGTTCTGAGCAGAAACTAATGAAGTTCTATTAATTTCTCTTTTACACCCTCCCCCAATCCTTCAGAACACAGGGCATTGAATAACCCCTCAAGCTTGGCAGTGCTTCATCTGCATACAAAGCCTTCACCAGTGGCGAAGCCAAAGGTCGTGCCTGTCGTGCCCGGCACGACCATAAACTTCCAAAAGTAAGGTTTTCACATATTGGCAAAAATTTATTTTGCTCCGCGAAAATGTTTCAAATATAGACAAAAATTAGTCGTATAATCGACAAATCGATCAAGCTTATCCCGCAGACATAAGTGAATTCTACTCGAATCGCCCAGAGCCCCTGGAATTATTCAGGAGCGGAGTAGAAATCCACAGGGTTTCATATTGGTCGTGCCCAAAATCTGGTACCTTGTGATTTGGTCGTGCCCAACAATAGAAGCTTCAATTGGACAGCCTATGTTTGGTCGTGCCCAACAATAGAGAAAAACAATGCTAGTCGTGCCCTCAGAAATGAGCACGACCTCGTCATAATAATAATAATAGTTGAGGTACGATTTCCAGCATTTGATTGGCTGAAGCTGGAGGAAATCAATCACGAGGTCGTGCCCGTTTCTGAAGGCAAGACTATCTGCACCCTGTATCATTGGGGCCTACTTGTCAATACTGCAGGCGTTTGTGGATGTTGGTGTGATATCAGGGTGATTTGAATGGTGCATGTAAATGTTCCAGTCCAATAAACCGTTGTAATATATCAGGAAACTGGTTAACGACTGTGGAGGGATTGTTTCATAGTTATTTTGACTCAGCCTATACGGAATCAATCCAATGGATCTCTTTGGTAGGCGAACAAGTTCTCATTCACCTAAACAGAATCAAGATCTTCAAATGTGCAAGATGCTATCTTATCTAAAAAATGGACAATAATTTGAATATCATCTGGATGTTTTTAACGTGATCAGAATGGAAAATATGGCAGTTTTTCGCTCGGATTTGTATCAGAGAGACGCACACTGAACGGGATAAACTGAATAAATCAATCAATAAAATAATCAATATTTATTTTGACAACAGTATACTTAGGTGTTCAAGACGAAAGTATTATGAACATTTGGGGCAAAATGTACATAAATATCTATTCATTTTACATTAGTTATGAGGTGTTTGATGTATTTTTGGACTAGAATCTTCCCAGTAGAAAGTTCTGAATTTTGAAAGTATTTATAGTAGAAAACCTCTTTGCAAATTAGCTCTACTGGAGTTTTACCCTCCTTAAAACACGTGAAAGGGAAAAATGAAATAGCATTGATCAACCTGTTGATGGTTTTGTTTATGTTTCTGATGATATGTTTTCAAGCTCAGCCTAGTGATTTTCTGATTTTTTCCCTTGCTTTCCATGTAATTTGGTTGTGTGCAGTTTCCTTGGGTGTGCATATATTTTCCTTAATATAGGTAACTTTCTCCATGAATTAGTCAGTTTGTCTTAAATAAGCAGGGTGAAATAATCTTTAAGCTATTACACATACCCCCCTTAATTGTTTGCTCAAGAAACACTGTTGTCTGCAAATAACTCTCAGGCTCATGATTATTCTGTATTAAATTTGTGACCCCAGTCATCTGATCTCAGTATTTCCACCTAGCTGGACACTGAAGAAATTTATTGAACATTCTTCATTTGTGTATGCTGCCCTGTTTATTCATAAATTGTCATGATCTGTTTTTCAATGATTAATTTAATGCTGCTTGGCTAGATCAATAATGCTGCATGACAGTACTGTGTTCAGCAGATATTCTAATATTTCTGTTTCATCTGCTTCATTTGTCATCTAATTCTTGATACACGCCTTGCACTTCACAGTCAAGTTTGCCTTTAAAGCCAAACTTTTGCCTCTTTTTTGAATGAAATTCTAAATTTTATGTGTGCAAAACAAATAGTGCTTGCAATTATTATACATTTGAAATCTGAGTCCACAGGTGTATATTTTGGTCCCATTGTTGCAATAATTTGATAAAATTTTAGAAAAGTTTGTTGTTCAAGCTTTATTATCCTGTGAACTGATATTTGAGTAAATAATACCAAAAATAAAAAAAAGTTGCCAGGAACCTCCATCACATTTTGGGAAGAAAACGAATTTTGAGTATCAGCCAGAGGCAGGGGAGACACAAAAGCAGCTTTTATACTTTTAATTTTAGTTTGTTTCTATCTTGTCAGAAAAGTAATGCAGTGCCATACAATTGCTATATTAGCTCCTTAGATCACTGAAATATTTTTTTTATAATATTGTGGATGCGCATTTCTGTTGCGCAGTGGCCAATGGGCACGACCACCCATGGGAGTCCAGCTTCGCCACTGGCCTTCACTGTCACAAAATTAGGACCTACTACCAAATAGTTATATGATAGTAGCTGGGTGCAAAATCACATTTGATTTATTTAATCATGAGTATCACTTTCCCTGACAAAGATTGTTTCTTTATAAAAACTTTGTATGGTTCCATAAGCCTCAACTACTTTAAATCAAACAATCTCTGAAGAAACCTATTGAAGTATCAGTGGAAAAGGAAGGACAACAAAAGAGATTTAATTACCTGCAAGCTAAAACTGGGGGGAGGGTAATAAAACAAAGCACATATGCTCAAAGCACTGAATCTAGAAATTAATGTTCACTGTTACATTCCATGGACACAAATGCATACTTTTGAAGTACTAACACAAATATGCATTTGATATGTAATATTCAACAGAATATCTTCTTGCTTTTTCATAGAACTGAAAATCATTCATTTTCATGAATAGATTTTACCTTGGTTAGCAAAAAACTTTAAAACAATATATCTATTAATACACTTCTAGCAACATAACTAGATGTAAGCAAAGTACAAGAATTCTGCACCACATTTCTTCTGTATATCTTTATTACCAGAAAAAAATATAAAGAATAAACCACTTTAAGAATTAAAAATTCTAGAACATAAATCTTTCAATACTAACTAAAACTATAATCTTCTATAAACAAAAGCAAGCACATCTGTGTCTACACGGCATCAAGCATTATACAACAGACTTGTTAAGAGCAATGCTCATAAGAAAAAAATAGAACATATCTACTAGCATTTAGCAAATAGATAATAATCAATAGTCAATATGAGATCTTTATCAATCAAGTAAAACATAACATTTATTCCATCATAAAGAGATAAAAATGCATACCTTGGCTACAACAACTGGGGCTCCTTTCATTTCAAAATGATTTGCTAAAATATCCCAAAGAGGGGAAAGTCTTTCACAGTGGCTACACCTGTGATGTAAAAAAAGATCAGAATGTGCTTAAAAATCTTGAAATCAGAATGTCTTAAAATCTCAGGATATCTCTATTGGAGGACAAGAATTGAAGCCAGCAAAAACTGACAATACCCTACATGCAGGGAACTGTGAAAGTTTTATCTAGAGAGGAGAATTTCAAGTGATACAAGGTATGTTATGCATCACACTATTTTTGATCCAAAACTAGATGTTAAGAGTCAGTTAACAAAAACGCAAAATTTTGGAACAAATAGGCATCTGAAACTTTCAGGGTTTTCTAAGACTAAGAGCTCTGGATTGCCCTAGAACCAAGACCAATATCAAGGAAAATGAGAATAATAATTTGGTAGCACATTTCCCTGGAACTTTCAATTAATAATTCTCTGGCTCTCAGAGCATGGATTATTATTTACTTTAGTGTCCCTAATGCTGTTGAAATTAAACCAACAATTAATCTCCCCTCTAACATTCATTTTTTTGTTCACTTTTTGGTTTCTTTGTCAATCACTTGAGAAATTTTTTTTTAAATCTTACAGCTTTTGGCTGCTGTCACATGCATTCATTTATATGATATTGTCAAAAAGTTGACAAGTGTTAATACTTTTAACCCAGATTGTAAAGTATTTTTCTGCACGGGAACACCAGAACAATAATTATGAAATTTGCATATAACGAACGTTTGCCTCGAAATTGTGCTCCGAATTTGAAGCAAAGGCTTTTGAGGAGGCCTACTTTTCTTTGTTTTTTCTTGTTATCAGAAGTCAGAAGTTTACATGATGAAATATTCGCAGAGAACATGACCACATAAACAAATATTGTGCACATAATCTACGGCAGATTCTTAATAATGCGCGGGGGAATGAAGGATAAAAAATATTGGGCGGATTGAACTTATTGAAACGTGTTCCCCACGCAGACCAAACTATTCAGTCTGGCTTTTAACAAGGTAGTGCACTACATTTGAAGGAACAGTGTATGATATACCTTAATTTTCCAACTGCAATGCAATTTACAGTTCGTCTTTCATTAGTTTACATTTTTTTGTTTTGCAATGTGATACCTAATGTTTTGTGGAGGAGTTTCATTTTAGCTTTCAAAAATCATTAAGCAAGCTTTACCTAATTGAATGAATGAAAAGAAAGGGAGTATTCTCAAGATAAGCTAAAATTTTCTGGTTGGTCTGACTTTATGTGTAGCATCTTTGAACCGCATTATCAAACAAAATCACATTCACCTTTAAAAGTACGAAACAAGATCCTTTATACTTACCATGGTGCGAAAAACATAACGAAATGGGGGGAATCTGGTACATTTGAGATGAAGTCATGTTCCTGGTAAACTGGTGCTTTGATATTTCCTAACAGAGTCTCAGCCAGCAACAATATAAGGCAGAACCTTAACCATTCAGTTTTTAGGCCACGCAACAAAACAAACGCCATCTTGTTAATAGCAAGAACACAGGGCAACCAGGATTTAAAAGCCGCAGCCCCGCAACAAGGACGCGTCAATGACTTTGATACAAACTCAAAACATTTTCTTCAGCAAATTAATTAACTACACGTTACGTTACATCATTTAAAATAGTTGTTCAAAATTAATCTATGATGTCCCAAATTACAATAAGAACATTAAAGAAAAAACAACCTTGTATACAACTAAATCAGCTGACGGACACATGGAAAAAGCTCAAGATAGAGCTATCAAAGCCTTGTGCCCAGTTTACGTGATTTGACGATATACATAAACAATTTTTTGGTTTGAATAGCAGTAATAATGCGATGATGGAAATGCAAATGAAACTAGAATAAAGATGCAAAGGAAATAAATAAAGAAAAAACTACAGTAAAGATAAAAAATGGGAAAATTAGGTTTACAGCACGTGCTAGTATTTTTATCGTGTTCGTGTAGGTCAGACTTTCTAAAAGGTAATGTTTCATTTTATTTTTGAAAGATAATTTGTTGTTGGCTTTCTTCAAATCTAGTGATAAAGGGTTCCAAAGTTTAATACCGTCAAATTTAAGTAAATTTCTTTTAGAGTTTGTTGATAACGCCTGCATAAGATTAGGGCAGGAGGGGCAGTGTTGGTGCCGAAGGCAAATCGTTCAATTTTTCTACTAACATAATCGAGCATTCCTAGGTGGGAGGGGGGGCGAGGGTAGGGTAACATAATAAAATATTAACTTGAATATGTGCCACCCATACAGCTGGGTTTTTTACCATCAAAGATTCTAAACATGAAGAAAATGTTGACGAAATTATCCATAAATGGAAATGGCTATTAAATGGCCTTGTCACTCACTATTCACAATATTTGGTTTTACAAAAATCATGACTGTTATGAATGGGCTGGTTGTAAAATTTTGATTGCCCGCTAAATTTATATACCGATTTATCCTGCTTAGGTTCCTGGAGGACTTCTGAGGGAACACATCTTTTGCTTATCATTTATTATCTTTGCTGCTCTCCCTCTTGTGGCCGACCTTGTCACAGACAAACTTTTTATTCTCTGCATTTTTGTGCCGGTGTTATCATCTTTCTAGTATTTTCTAATAGTTATTAACATAAAGAGAGTAGTCAAAGTGGTCGTCATATTTCAGAGCACTTCTTGCCCCTCTGCCTCATTTCGAAGAGGCCCCTCCAGCCCCCCCCCCTTGTGTAGGCGCCCCTGATCGCTTCTAGGGAGAAACTAAGGCCTGAAGCCTGTCTTCTATTGTAACGATAAAGTTTTCTTGCTTTTAGACATTCATGTCCAAGAGTAGTGCAACTGTTCTCCTTATTAATTTGAAATATGAATTTTGCTGTCTCAAGTTTGTACGATTTGTCAAAGTTCAATAGTGTTAAGCGTTTCAAATGAGGTCACAGTGTGCAGTATACGCAGCAAGGTTTTATACTTATATTTGCGCGTTGGGGCAGGGATGGCTAGAAGCAAATAAACAATTTCGCACAAAACTTGCAAGTTTTCATTTATTCTTTACCTTTATTCTTAATTTGGTGCAACACGAAGACAAGGTTGATCTTATTTGCTCTTTTTCTATTTCAGTGACATGAAACACATCTGTTTATTTTTAATTAAGAAACTGAAAATATAGAAATTATGATTCTAAAGCCTTTTCAAAATGTCCAAAACGTGCCTAAGATTTCAACGAGAAAAGCTCAACATTCCGAAGGACAATGAAGAAGTTAAATGCCTACTGAACACTTTGTAACCCCATTAAATATCATTCGACAGAAACTGAGCAGCCCTGGATATTTTTAAACAGATTTTGTAAGGTGGTTTAACGATTCCAACATTGGACTGAGCAAGCATGTTTGATTATGCTCAATGAATATGTTCCGTATTGTTCACCAATAATAGCAATTTGAAAACTGCACGAAAGGAAAAAAATAATATTTCTTGCAGTTCTCAAATTTTGCGGTACCAAAACGTATCTAAAAATAGCAATATTTAAAAAGCCACTTCCATCTTCTTTGATATTTCTGAGTAATAGCAAAATCAACAAAAATTCCAACGAAATAAATTAAGCAGATTTACTGCTTATAAATTCTCTATGTCAATAGCAAAAATCCATGTCATGCTACTAATTTGAGAAATCGATTAACTCATAATTTATTGTTTGGATAATGCTATTCTATACTCAAGGTTATAAAATTTCAAGTCAGTATTATTAGGAAAAGAAAGAAAAATTCCCAACAAACGCTTGTCTCACTCCGAATAGTCATTTTTTAAGGCGATTCAGTTTTCGTGAAGTAGAAATGAATCCATACACTTTCAACAAAATCTTTACGTAACTTTGCTTTGTAACAAGTAGTACTTTACTTGCTCTAACAGACTCCCTATAAATTTTTATAGAAATCTGATGCAGCGTCTATCGGGGGGTTGGGGGTTGAGGGGAGAGACGTTTAATAGAGCTTACTATGAAAAATAATGATCCCAACAAAAATTGAGGTAAATGCACCACAATGGGATACGAAAAACGAGTTATCGGGATACGCAAACACGACGTAGTGAAAGTATGTGATACCTACATCATTTAATAATATACACAGAAGTTCTCAAATAAGTTGACTTCTAGTGAAGAGATTAATAGAAAAAACCTGAGTCGCGTTAAACTGTCATATGCACAAAAGAACGAAGAAATGAACAGAAAACCTCACTGATCACATAATAATGAAGAATAAACCTGACATTCTTTGTGCATTCCTCTTTCTGTTATTTCTTTCCTTTTCAAATGAATCGTCGCTTTGATATTTTCGGCGTTTATAAGAAGGAGGCCTTTGTTTGAGACACGGAATAGAAGTGAGCAATGATACAGCAATTTAATAAGTAATATACACTGTCTGGATCATACTGAACCTAGAATCTAACTACTTGGATCTTATCTGGATATCACACATAATTTACACTTTTCGAATTTAAAATATCTTCGAGCGAAGTCCATTCTACTTTCCCAACTCCAAGTAATTCCTCTTTCTTCATGCCGTCCAGCATTGTCAACTACGGAAAAAGTCGAAGAAACATAATGAGATTCTCTTGGTAGGCAGTGAACGTTTTTGCAATTTATGAAAAAAGAGATGCTTTCCCTTGGCAAAAGATAAACAAACCTTTTACTAGAGCTGGCAGGTGCAAGAAGGTGTGTAGTGAAGATGTTACATAAAGAAGGAGTAAAATGTAAAAACGATAGAAGTTAAGGATGCCAAGGAAATGTTTAAACTTTTGGCTGCCTTCATCGTCCTGTACATAGCAGTATCAGATATTGGACATCAGCTGCTCAAGTTTTGTTCTTATAAAGGAGATATTTTTTAAGAGCAAATGTCTTATTTCATAAGAACTGTCGTACGATATTTTATAAGAACTAGCCTTTTGCTTAAAATAGGTAATGTTACGGTTATGTACCCTAGATGTTAGGTTAAAAAAGTTGTTTGTATAAAAGACTGAACTGGATGATAGCTATCATGTGAATAAGATTTGTATTCATACAGGGATCAAAATTAAGCAATGTAAGTATGTATGCCTGAAGGAAAAGACGCTAGATTAGGCCGTCGGTCGGATTCTGTGAATATTGCTAAAATAGATAGAAACACCGCAAAACCACGAGAGACAATCCAATATAATGTAAATATATCCAAATTGAATAACTAAAACATTAAAATAAAATGATAAGTAAACTATTACTTTTGCCTCCGATGAAGCCTAGTATTCCGGAGCGAAATATCAGTTCACTTATGACTTCATTTTAATATTTAGATTGCTCGAATCGGATCTATTCATTTACAATGCATTGGATTGCATCTTTTCGTCTTGCAGTATTCCTACCTATCATCAATAAAAGAAGTATGCATCAACTGCCTTGATTCGCATTTTTATTTATCCTAGCCTTTGGTTTGATTAACAAGTGCTTGTGTGAAGAGGTTACCCCCGTTTCGTTATCGTTTCGTTATTGTTTTTTAAAAGGATTCTTTCTAAATTTCAACATTACAGTGGGAAATTTTGCCTTTCTTTTGAAGAATTCCTTCTCTAAAACTTCAGAGTAGCGTTTATTACTTCTGGAACCAGACTTATTTAGTTGTTACTCAGAGTTTCACATTGAGTGCGATCATCATTAGATGTTTTTTTAAACATATTGCCTAGGAAGAGTGAACAAATTCAATAAACTCCCCCTCTTTTAAACGCCCCCTCAAATAGACGCCCCTAACATATAAAAAAATTTAATAAACGAAAACAATAGGTTACCCCCGTCTATTAAGGTAGCACGTGTAATTTGAGAACGGTTGAACTGTGGATTTTTTGGTAAGTGGAATTATGGACGAAGAGACATTTTAGAGAGAGATTTTAAATATTCGTTTTATGATAAATTTGGAAATGAATTGGTTGGATTTATTGGTTAAAGATATTCGTTATTTGTTGTCATTTTTTTTCCGACTTTACCACACTTGTTAGAAAATGAACTTTCTTTAACAAAAGATCGGGAATGTTTATAAAACAAGCTATCACTGATATCTGCCACACGGTTAAAAAACTTCGAATGTCTTAACAAGAGAGAACTAAAATCGTTCAATATTCTAGTTTATAAAAGTCACTTAATAATAACATCGATATTGCTGATGAGATATCGCTAAGGGCAATTATACAAAACTCGGTTTTGAAACGAAACTGAATCTATGTCAATTGAACTTTTTATGAATGAGTTTGCTTGAAATTTCATTTGACCGTTGCAAAAATAAGAATCATCAATACCTGCTTGTCGATATATTGTAATATTATTTCCAAGCTTTTCCGACTTGTTTTTTCCTTGTCGTGAAAAAGATTTCTGAAAATTAGAAAAAAATTGTTTCAGCCACAGTGAAAAAAACAAAAAGAAAAGTCTCTTTTAAAGACAGTTATAAAGAACTGTGCTTACAACAACACAAATTCAAAGTACTGGCTTTTACAAAACGTACTTTAAAATAAATTACATACAAATACCTAAAATTAGTGGCATTTGATCTCGATAAATCATACCAGCGACCCGTTGAATTTAAAAAAGTTTAGAATACTAGAGACATGACATTTGTGAATACACACTTACGTATAAATGGGATTTTACAGAATAGACATTCAAAACCAGGTTAACAAAAGTCCAAGAATAAAATGACCCCGATAACCAACATTATTTAGCGTATCTTGAAGACTTCTAGAAGTGGAAATTGCTTGATGAAGCATGGCCAACATATCTTTGACCAGGGTAGAGATACGGAATGCTCTGTTGAAAACAGCCTGTCCGTACAAGTAGCTTGCCTCGAAAGGGATATTGCTTGGTCTAAACCAAACAAAGTTTAAGAAGCTTTGTCTTAACCATTGAGATTTAAGAGTAGCTGAGTTAATGCCAAAATATCATCATCTGGTCTAGTCAGAGTGCATGCAACTCCAATGTGAATAGACACACCGCTTTTAACACATGTTACATGTAAGCACGGAAAAACAGAAATATGAAATATGCATAAATGCTGGGCACATTTCTATATATGATTACCAAGAAAACAAAATAAGGCATAACCTATGTTGCAGAGGTAATTAAGAAAACAGAAACAGGGCCGTAGAGATGTTTTTCGAAAAATTTAGGCCCGAGTTACACGACGTCGGATTGGGTTTACTTCGGATTGCTTTTCACTTCGGATAGGGGTTTCAGTTACACGACGCTGAGGCAATCCGAAGTACTTCGGTGAGCGTGACCGGAGTGAAAGTCACTCCGCTCTGGAGGTGAAGTGAAAATCAATCCGAAGTACTTCGCTTCGCATTCCTTCTCGTGTAAAAACTGGATCCGAAGTGATTTTCACCCCGAAACCTCGTTGCAGATCACGTTGCCTCTGTTATGTGCAAAATGTGCGCGCTTTTTGAAGAAGAAAATACCCAGCATAAACATGGCTGACATCAAATTGTTAATCAAAATGTTTCTTGGCATGTTTACGGGTTTTTCCACTTTATTGCAGCAGAACAGCATGTTATTTGAGTTCATTACTCACAACTATCTGGCACGAAGAAAATTGTTAATGAAACAAATAGCTGCTTGTAGCTATCGCATCAGGAAAAGGAGAAAAATCAAGGCCCAGCGTCGCTTCTGGCTTAAGCCCGGTCGCTGCAACGGCTGGTGGTCAAACCTAAAGAACGGGCTTAAAGAAGATGATGGAGAGTGGCGACTTAACTTTCGTATGTCCAGAAATAGTTTCAATTTGTTGTGTTATGAACTACGTCCATACATTGAAACGAAGCAATCCGACATCGTGTAACAGCGAAGCAAAAGTCAATCCGAAGTCGTGTAATCACTTGGAAAAGCGAAGTGCAACTGCTTCGGATTGGGGTGGGCAATCCGAACCGAAAACCAATCCGACGTCGTGTAACTCGGGCCTAATATACCTACATGCTGCTGGATAAAAATGTGCTAACGAACTAAACGAACTAACCTCCATATTGCGTCTGCGAAATCTTTTTCGTTCTCAGACATAAATGCCTACAAAAGACGTGATCGATTACTAAAATAACATATAAAATACTAACACTACATGTGTGCTTCCTCTTTTAAGTTTGTAATGAGTCACACTTCTATCGGGTTTAGGAAGAATTGGGTTAGTTTGAACATTTCATGTACTTTGATGAAATGTGGATGTTATTAGAAGAAACGGTCTCGTCATGTTAAGAACCTTTTGCAATGTTAGAGTAGGTACGTATCCCATGTGCATGGCGGTTTATATCTTCCTCGAAGTATACTTCGCCAATTTGATTATTGTAGATGGTAGACCAGCAAGGATATGTACAGTGTCCAGAAAAATTGTTCTTCCCCCGGCCAACAAAATCTTACTGTAAAACCTTCCTTATTCTAATGGGTTTGAAATGGGCGTGGTCAGATGCTTGGGAACACAACTATGATCTTCTTTCCTGGTAACTTTGTTTTTTCAATACTCTTCTATAAATTTGTAGCTTGTTTCAAATTAAAAATATTTTTAGAAACCGATGTTAAGCAAAATGATTATTTCGATTAATAAAAAAATTGTTTAATTCAAATAATTAAACCATAAAGAGGTAATGCCTAAAATTTACAGTGCAAAGTAGTTCTGCAAACATATTCATATTAAAAGATAGGAGGTTTTAGAATTTCTTTCTGATTTTTTTCAATTTTTCATGGCTATATTTTGAAAATCAAAAGGCTATAAAAAATCTTCAACTTCCTCAAGTTTCCAAATTTTTGGCCACCTTCCTCAATTTCTCTTTATTTCTACAACCATCCTCCGGCCATTGGCCAAGGGGCCGTGGTGTGGATATGAATATCGTCGATTTTCGTTTACTAGTTGTCGATCCTTAAAAGCCCTTTTTGGTGGTACAAAATTTAAAATTGACTTTAAAAAAGGCAAATCTCTTAACACATAAAACGTTAGAGCGTTGGTCAAAAAGTCTATGCTAGAAAATACTTATACCCAGTCGCGGGATGAAAATCAATCAAACAGGAACCTAAAATATTTAGGTTGCGTCATTAGTGCCGCTTGGCTATAGAAATGCTACCAATGGAGTTCAAGGGTGAAACAAACTCCTGTTTACAACGGCAGTTTTATTAGATCGATTCTTAAACTTCTAGTTGGATCTATGATCGGATTCTGCCAATTATTCGACACATGTTCCCCAGTGCAATTCTAAGTTTCTTGTTCTTTATGAAAGAAAGCGTTCTGAAATCCCCAGTGCATGTAGCTCAGCAGTCTTTGGCATTCAGCCTGTATAATACCTAGCATATTCTATGTAGAGATGATTGTGTTTTGAGTCTACATAACTCAAAACGTAGAGTCATTGTGGTATAAAATACTGAATGGATTTCATGTGAGAGACAGAGGTATTACGATGGCTTCGATTTGTACACGTCAGCTTAAAGTTTTTCTCAGTCTACTATGCATTCAGCATGCTGATTGGCCTTGAGAATCGACTGAAGATGGTATTCATCTTGTTCAATGTTTAGACAATAAGATAAAATGTGCTCGAGATAAAATATATTTTGATTAATGATTATAGGTGTGTTGATAGAATCCTTCTGCGTGTTCTTCTGTTGTTACAACAGGAACATCGTCGATACAGCGTCCTCATCTCTGGGAGTAGTGGTCTCTTATCGTAACAGCAACTTCCTTAAATCTTCAGGAGCATAATTTGGCAATAGAAAAGTTTAGAAATGCCAGAGGTCGATAAAAAGTGAATCTTCAATAAGATATTGATATTCATTTCATCTATCATATAAATTATATATCAAAACAATGATAACAAACCTTATTATACACAATTGTTAATCCATAGAACTGCTCTGCTAGCTCCTTGAAACTTTCTTTCTTTGCTTTCGTGTCTTCGATCTAAGTGAGACCAATTCTAGTTGTGAATGGCTTTGAAAAAAACAAGCATTTTACAACATTTTAACTAAAAGCTTTTCCGTCTGACACTCCTCAGAGCAAAAAACGTCAGAATAAGGGTTCGAAAGAACACGATATATACCTAGTTGTGGATCGAAATAGGCCAATCAGAAAAACGCAAGCATAAGACCGGTATAGTTGACCAATCAGTGTCGCGTGCCTGAAGAAAAAATACCACTGGAGTCCAAGAGAGAAAACGAACTTCTTCTGTCTACATTTCTAGTTGAGAATTTCATTTTGCTTGAAACCATAACAGACAATTTCCGCTCTTCTTCACAGGATAGCACACCCAAGTTAAAACAAAAACTCCACTGAAAGATGCAATGTATCATCATGCTTAATCTAACGCAATTAGTATCTGGGAATTTACAAATACAAGAAACAGACGCTGGAAGAGCTCAAGGTTTAGAGAATGGGTAAAACAACACCAAAATAAAGACGACTGCTACATTTTGCGAGGGCAAGGAGGAAGCACCCCTTGCTCCGGTGTCCCTGACAAGAAACCACAATAGATTTAAAACAACTCTGTCATCTTACAAAAATATTTTCACAAAGTGGGATCCATTCCGGAAGGCAAAAGCCTTGAAACGCTAGAAAAATTGTCTATTGCGTATTCTGTGCATTAGTGCATAATTTTTAGCAATTTTGCTAAATCGGATACCTTTTAATCATACATACAAGTGATTAAATCACAAAAACAACATACAACAATAACAACAATAAGTATACAACCACAACAACATCATCACAACAGCTTCAATCACCAACCATATAATCTATACTTTAGGAAATCAGCACTGTTGGCTTGTTTTCAACAAAACAAAAACTGCATATTAATACTAGCAAGCACGTTTATATTAATAGAAATACATAGCGATAAGCCTTTGACTAAATCTAAGCTTTTCTTCCCATTTCTCAGTCAACAAGTTGCGCAAAGAAAAAGCAAGTATAAAGCAAGAGAACATTATTCATACCCCTAAGAGATTAATTCGTTCTCGAATGTCTTCCCACATTAGCTCAGCCATTTTCTGATTGACGGTTTTACCATCATCATCAAGTGAATTCAGTCTGACATAGCACATCCTAAAACATTTATAGAAGAACGACTGATGTCATAATGCATTCATTATCCACTGAAAATTGATTTAAATACCAAAATCTCTTTATTTCTTGTTTGTTCTTACTTAGCGCCAAAAGACAGTTTTTAGTACACCTAGGCTACGTTTACACTACTTCGTATTCGTTTCTCTCCGTTTTCCTTGGCAAAACGATGTCATTTCACAGTGATCCACTTTCAAATGAATACGCTGTGAATGCGGAAAGTGTTCACATTGCTCCAACAAAAACGTTGTTGGTAGCCTCATTTAAAGGAAGGCCTCAATTTAAAACTGTGGCAGTTGCTATCAAAATCCGCAAAGTTAATATGAATTTGGTATTTTAAATGTTTGAAAACTGGTGCTTTTGATAGATTATTCAAATGTCACTAAAAACAGAGCGTATTAAATACATAACGTACTTAAAAGTATCCTTACTCAATTGCGCTTTCAAATGTCTCCTTTTTCATAGCAAAGCAGTGTGAACGCGAGGCAAAAACAGATAGGAAAACGGATAGCTACGTTTTCATAAGCAAACACCAAAACAACATTCTTATTGCTCAATATATTCATTCTTGAAATAAATTTGATCTTACCAAATATGTAAATGTATGACAAGGAACCATGACTGAAATGTATCAGGCATGTTGCAAACTGAAAACAAAACAAAAACTGTTTTAAAGAGTTTGCAGCATATTGAGGTAAACTGCAATTAACATCGTTTGCAGCTAGCAATGGAATTCAAGCTAGTTTAAAACTGTGTTAGTTTAAAATGAAGTTGAGCTTCAGGCACCTTTGAAAAATTCTTTGTAATCAACTCCATCTGTACAGCATCCATAGATCTGTCTTGCTCTACAGTGCAAAATCTGGAGAGAGAGAGAGAGATGACACGCTAACAGCCATAGGCCAATGTCTTTTAGAAACATAAAAGAGCTGAAGGTAAATGAATAAAAAACTGAGGAAATCAATAAGTAAAAATAGCTTCTTTTAGATATGTTAATAATATCAGATATGAAAAAACTGGAAGAGGAGCAGAAGGTTGAAGTAGCAATGATTTTTCAGTAGAAAAGTGAACAATTTGTTGCTCTAAAGGAACCAACTTCATGAAATTGCTAGTAAACACGTTTACCAGCGTTTATAATGCAACTTTATGCCAAAAAAGTTAATAAAAAGGTACTAATTCTACTCTTACCGAACTCCTGGTGAAAATCCACCCAATACGTTGAAATAAACTATATATTTTCTCCTTGAGTGTTACAGGTGCAGAAATAGTTGAGCCACTATCTTCATTCTGTGATATAAAAAGGGAATGCATTCAACTCAAGATATTTTAAAAGATTATGAAATAATATAGAAAAACGCCTGACTTGGCACAATTACTTTTGACCTTCCAGGCACTGTGTATGCTCAAACATTGGCAAAGGGAGCAATTGGTAATGTTTCTAAAACCTTGCTAAAAACGTGCTGCTATTTGGTCTACTACAATAATAATAATTGAAAACCAAAAGAAAAAAGGAATGAGCAAAAGTGAGTTACCATGGTTGATAAATCTCTTTGTTGGTAGCCACTATTAAGACATCGTTTAAACACAATATGTTGTGGGCTAATGCTTGAAAGTGTTCTTAAATTTTGATATGATAGGCAGTTAAAACTTTGACGCGTGTTCATTGAAAATGCCAAGAGAGTTTTGAATGTATTAGAATGGCGACTTGAAACTCCTAAGAAGTTTGATCTAAGTAATGATGCAGAAGTCATCTTTGAGTCTGAAAGAGAAATAGTGAATAGAGGATAAAGAGAGACAAATTAATAATCTTGTAGCCGGCAACTCATTAAAATGAAAAAACTGGATCAAAGTTAAGAAAACATAGGATCCAATAAAAAGCAAGTAAATGAACGATTTTCCTCTTGAGTCTTTTAAATTCACAGCATCAGTTGCAATACCTCAAGAACATGTTTGATGTTAAGTTTTAATTAAGTTGATGAAAAGAGACAACTTAAAAATTTGAGAATAACAGGAGTTAGTACTATGGAGGAAGCTGTATGACTGTATGACATGCAAAAGCTCCTAAGAGCTATCTAGTTGCATGCTTTTATCTAGTTGGGTAACAACATTTTTACAACACTCAGTTTTGTCAAAAATTGATGATTTACAGCTCTTGGTGGTCAGAATTTAGATATCCCTAAGGATTCTAGCCAAAAATAATATACAGTGATATAACTTGCAGTTTTTTATTGAGGCAAATGTTAAAACAAAACAACAAGATACTCTAAAAGCTTCTTTTCATTCCATACTGCATTAAAATATGGAATGGTTTAGATTCTGAAATAAGAAATCGAAGACAACATCACAGTTAAAAAAATCAATAACTTCTATTTTAAGACCTTCTAAAAGATCCCATGCATGGAATCACCTATGGTTGTGACTCTGCACTCATACTAGGTCATCACATTAGGTTTAGTGAGCATAGACAATAACACAACTTTGCTGCCATAGCCCAGTGGGCAGATGCAACAACTTGCAAAAGTTGAATCAATCACACATTTCTTCCTGCATTGTCAAAATCATGTTTGTACCATAGGGAAATCCTGTTTGAAGAACTTTCTAACATTGTTAATAATTATACTTATATGATAATCTTTACTGATGAACATCTATGTGATACAATACTTTATGATAGCAAAACATACAACTTAACAGCCATCAAAATGATTTTGGAATGTACCACCAGATATATATAAAAGTACACATAGGTCCAGCAGGCCTGGCAGGTTGTATTTTTGTAGATGAGCTGTGAATCACTCCCCTCATTTGCTGAGAGAAGCTAAATCAGTAATGCATAGAATACTTAAAAGTAAATCGCCAGATGGATTTAGCCCCTTTAGTATCTGTTGATTGCCTTTACATAGTCTTGAATTCAAGGAGTATACTGTTTTACTTCAATTTATATATGCTTTAACTGTGGACCAGGCCCCCCTCTTTGCTTGAACAGACTCTTCCAGTTTTGTACAAAGCTTGCACACAAAAAACAGGCCTTTCATTTGACACAAGCAATATCTTGCGATCACGTCAGCACTCGTGCAAACCCAACCACGCAAGCATTTGATCGCTTGCGCAAAATGGTAAATTGTGAGGAATAAATGTCTTTTCAATAAACACAATTCTAGTCATCTTTTGTGACCCAAGCAAGTGACATAGACAATACAAAGACGGTATATCAAAGCACAGGAAATATAAGAAAGCTGAGTAAACCCCACATCTCAACGAAAAATGCATTTGAAAATCAATTCCACAGGGAATGCTTAGGAATACTTTAGGTACTAGTATTTGAACTACAATAGCACTTAGGACATTTTCTGGGCAGCCAGACTGTAAAGTATTTTTTCTGGGCGGGGAACGCCAGAACAATAATTTTGAAATTTGCAGATAACAAATCGAGTGCGGAATCTGAAGCAAAGGCTTTCGAAGAGACCTTGTATTCTTTGTTTGTTCTTGTTATCAGAACTCAGAAGTTTGAATGGTGGAATATTCGCGGAGAAAATGACCAGAAAAACAAATATTTTGCGTGGAATCTATGGCAGATTTTTAACAACAATTTGAGATCATCCAGAAATAAGGTCTATATGACCTTCATGAAATACATAAAATTTATAAACGAAGCACATTTGTATTGAGTATTTATTCTTTCTTGGAGTGCATTAAAGGTGATCATAACAGTTTGCTCTCATTTGATTTTACCTCAAACAAAAGGGTACTTTATAAGATCATTGCTATCACTACCAGAGTGATTGCTTGTGCAAGAGAAATCATGCAATCTCATGGGTTATTTCTTGCAAAAAGGCCTGACAAAAATAACAACTCTCTTACCAAACAGTCTTTTTGTTGTATAGAATTTATGAATGGCTTTGAAAAACACATTTTGAAACAAACTTAAGTTTTTTCTCTGACACTCAGAGTATAAAGCATCAGAACATAGATCAAAACTCTATGCTAGGAAATATATAAACCCAGTTGTAGAAAGAAATAGGCCAATCAGAAACGCGAACACATGACTGTTGAGGTTGCCCAATCAGTGCCGCTTGCCTATTGAGAATGTTACCAATGGAGTCTGAAGGTGAAAACAAACTCCTTCTGTCTAGACATACTGCCTTTTCAATGTTTATGTAGATGGATTCAAAAACTGCTAGATGGAATGACGAATAGGCTCTACCAATAATCTGAAACATGTCACCATTATAGTTTTCACATAATCTGGGTTTCCACTAAATGCCACTTGACAGTGGAATTGCATGTCTTAGTTGCCATTTTTGATCTGCAAGACCATGTAAGCTGTTCTCTTTGAGGGAGAGTTTTGTTTCTTATGCTGGAACGATCTGTTTCTAATCCCCAAATCAATTCTTAACGATTTCTTGGAAGTTCTTATCAAGAATATGCCTGTTTTCATAAGATTGAAAGATTCTAAGTTCTGCGAAAGTACCTTTCACTTCACTATATTTTTCCAAATAGATTAAAGTTTGTGACTATCATAACAAAAACTGCCAGACAGGGAAAAAATAATTGCCAATATGCAATATCAGGAGAAATAACTGTAAAAAATAAACCAATTAACCCTTGCAATTTTTCAGGCTTCTGTGAATATGAAAAGGGCAAATGAATGGAAATTTTAGGGGAGCAATCTTTCCTTCAAGTTTTGTTAGGAATGCAATTCAGAGCTCGCCTCAGGTTGTGAGGGGCATGTGGAGGCTTTCGCTTACCTCTAATGGCCAGGCCTGGTTTAGATTATGGTGCCACCATTCATTGTCCTGGAAACATTGTTTATACATTGCTACAATTAATTTTCTGTTTGTTATTATTTTTAGTTTGGTATAACTGCCAGAGTAGATTAGAGTTATGGTGTCAGAGGCAACTCCTTATCGTTGTAAAAAAATAACCATATGTCATGGCTTAAAAGGGCAAACATCTTAACATAAATCTATGTTTTTCATCTTACACTCCTTAAGAGTTAAATATATCAGAATATTGGTAAAACAACTGTACGTTAGCAAAAATATGGCCATATTAATAGGCCAATAAAGGTTGCCATCTCAGGGCTGCCTCCGATTCCAACATGCTTTATTTGATGTTTAAACCCTGAGTGGATTTCGTAATAAATATTAAAAAATGATAAAAATGAAACTTTTGATTGATGCATTAAATTAATTCATTGACTGATTTACTGAATAGAATATCTAGTGATATGATGCAGCAGCGTGGATTGCATAACATCCCATTTAGGCCATGGTTGAAAACTTCGGTGACATTCCTTATAATTCCGAATGAATTTAAGTTCATCACAAAAACGCAACATTTAATTCCTACAAATCTACTGCGGTTTAGTTCATCACCAAAACCTTAATTCCGAAAATTACGAAAATATGCCACTTAGTTCTTACCTTGGTTCACTTTCTTGCTGCTTATGTTGTTGTTGTTGTTGTTGTTGCTGTTGTTGTCGTTACTGCTATAATAAAAAAATGTGATCTTTTAAATTGACCCTCCTCGTTCACCAAGGCTAAGCAACCAAGGACAACGACAGGTTTTTTGGGAGGGAGGAGGTGGAGTTGGTAATTGTCGAGAAAGTTTTATAGGTTTGACGTTACGAAACTGTGAATGTTTGAAGCTGAAAATTACTCACAACAAGTACATTTTGGGAAATACCCAGCTTCCCTTCCACAAACACTGGCAGATTTCTATTATACAGACTGAACACAGACATGGATTGATATGCTAAGATAGAAATGAAAACTACTGCTTACCGGTAGGCCATAAAGTGCTAGATGCTTAGAACCGTCCTGTGTCAGAATTACACTGTTTGTTATGTTAGCAGGTGACGAAAATTACATAACTAATCACATGGGACGAAATGGGAAGGCCAGGAAATTTGGCAAGTGTCGAGACCTGGGAAATGAGCAGT